AAATTATGAAATTTTTAAATGGGATTTAAAAAATGTACAGGTAGTTTGATGGATTTTATTTTTTGCTTTATTTTTGTTTAAAAGATAAAGGCTGTTTAGTATCTATTAACACTTATATTAAGATGTCTGCTATATTGGACATCACAAACTATTGAATTACAGTATTCCATATGACTGATGTCTGCAGCTCATTCTTCATCACTCTTTATGATATTTACATCACTTTTTCCTTCTCTAAGCCTTTTTAATCATTGAAAACCAGTTTTTGCTTGTTATACTATCCATGTTTGTTACATTTCACAAACACATTAATTTCTAAGACAGTCCATTTAATTAGAATTGGACATAGTGAGGCATGTTATTCTCTATAATAACTCCTATGTTTTGAGTAAAAGTTTTACTAATTGACAGTGATCAAGGATGAAATTTGGTGGTGTTTAATTTTCACACCAAGATGCCATATTAATGAGTTTGGATGTTTTTACTTCTTTTTTTTCCCTATGACATAGTCTTAATGAGTATGGTATTATCAGGAAAAATTTCAGTGAATCATCTCCCATATTTCTTTCCACTTATAAATTATATTCTCTAAATGGTCATCATCCTCTTAAACACACCTAATAATTTCAACAGTGATTTAAAATCTGGTCATCAGCTTTGTTCTTTTTCTCGTGATCTAATAAGAGTCGTGTTCCTTTATTTACTAGTATTTAATTGGAGTCCTAGTGTGGCACCGTGGGTTAATTCCCAGACTGCAAAGCCATTTGAGCTGCAAAGTTGGCAGGTCAAGATCACCAGCTACTCCTTGGAAACCATACACAAGGTCACTATAGGCCAGAACTGATTCGATGGTACTTAACAACAAAAAAAATTAGTGTTAATACAAAATTAAACAAATTAATGTTATTTATTACTGGTCATTTGTATTAATTATTTTAGCTGTCATCTGTAAAAAACTAAGATGCAGAGTATACATTTATATGTATCAGTCTCCAGGTTGACAGGTATGATTTCTTTAGGAACTACTCCTGAAAGACTGTAATATTAAGAGTTCAGTTATACATAGGCTAATATTCACTGCTTTAATATGATTAATAAAACATTAAATGTAAAAGTTTTTTGCATAAGTTTTATGATATATTAAATTGCCCAATTCTTATAAGTACTTAAATGCTTGTGACTGAGACCTCAGAAATTATGGTTATATTAGCATAGGGTACATACATTTTCTTTTTTTCTCTCATTATGTATGGTCATCCATTTAATGGATAATCATGTAGAAATTGGGGATGACTTTTTGAGTTTTCAGAAGAACCTTGAAAGATACATTGCCAAATGTTACAGAACCTAGATAAACAAAGTTAAAATATTTACCACATTTGGTTTAGGCATAAATTTATTTCCATTACTATGTAATTACTGTATCATTAATAACAAAAAACGGAAATTTTATTTTAATAAAAAATCTCTGCAAATTTAGGAACTCATTCTTACATCTTTTGAAGTACTATGCTTAGAAATAATGTATCCTTAGCTTGCTGATTTGTACACAGAGGAACTTGGCTAGATATCATCATTAATTGACAAATGCCATAGACCTTTTGGTCTATGGCAATTTAAAATCCTTCAAATTAGAAATGGACTTGACTAGCTGTTGGTAGTGTAGTGGTTACGAATCGGGCTGTGAACCTCAGGGTCAGCAGTTCGAAACTACCAGCTGTTCCGCGGGAGAAAGATGAGGCTTTCTGCTCCTGTCAAGATTTACAGCCTCGGAAACCCTGTACAGGGTCGCTATAAGTTGGAACCGACTCCACAGCACATTACAACAACAACAAGCTGTTGGATAAGATAAATACAGCTCCTATATTTGGGGTCCAAAAGACTACCACCAAACCACTATATTCAGTCTGCTAGAAGAGGATGTTGTTAAGTGCCACTGAGTCGGTTCCGACTCATTATGATCCTGTGTAGGGTTTCCAAGGAGCAGCTGGTGGGTTTGAACTGCCGACTTTGTGGTTCCAAGTCCAGTGCTGATCCTATAGCGCCACACCAGAAGATCGACCAGACCTTAATGCTACTACTGGACTATAGGAGAATCATCTAAATTGAAAATCTGTATCATTGCAACTCTAACACATCTGGATTTTTTTTAACCTTCTCACATTCGATATGATCTGAGGAATATTTTTATATTTGGTTCATGTATAGTTTGCAAATTTAGATGAGCAGAACTGGAGAGGTTTTAAGAAATTCCTACTGACTTTGTCAACAGTATTGGACTGTCACTATTACCAGATTTATATTTTCTTGACTTACTAGACTGAAAGCTCCTTAAGGGAGCTACTTACTTGTGTATTATTCATTTTTGTGCTACATCACCTAGGAGACAATAACTATCCATTGAACTGAACTGACCTTTGCTGAGCAAAATGCAATCATATCAACAGGAATGATGCAAAATTAATTTTGATACTGAAAATGAACTGGAAACACATTGCTAGAGAGAAAACAAGCTCTACCAGTATTACTGCTCTCAGGAATGTGGGTAAATTAAAAGATTCCTTCAAGCGTGGTACCTAAAGAGGCTGATATACCTGCTAGTTTAACATCTTTGAACTGTTTTCGTGCATGACCTAATGTTTAGAGAAACTGACAAGGAAAGTACATGGAGTGTGACATCCCTGCTTAGTACTGATGAGCTGAAGCTTCAGGCCCAGGGAAAACAAGGAAAGTACATATTTAGTTAGTCCATATCACTAAGGCAACAGTCAGTGTACCTCAGCATAGCAGAACAGTAAGCACAGATATAAAGACTGAATATACTGAATACAATATAAATGCTGCCTATACTGTAACAGTAGTTAGATACAAGGATAAATTATTTCAGAAACCAGGCAATGAAAGATTTTAACTACTCATGTGTAGGTGTGTATGTGCACATGTGCTTTTGCTACTATGAGGGGTTTTTCAAAAGTTTGTGGAAAAATTCCTTATTTTTCCATTCCATTTTTCCACAAATTTTTGAAGCCCCCTTGTACTCCAGAGATACTCTTGATCAATTAACTTTACCTTAGTACCTAAAATAAAGAATCCGTTTGGTTTTGACATAAATGATGGCAAATTCTCTTTTCAAGAATATATGAAGGTATAAGTCATATATAGGGTACCTTCTTCACCAAATGGGAGGAACATCTGAATTAGAAACTATTAAATCAGCATTAAGTGAAGACTATCTGCTGAAGAAACCTATCTTAAGAGATGATTTATAAATGGGTTTTACTGACGAGACTAATCTGCTAGGAATAAATAATAAAATATAGCAATAGTAAGGTATAGAATATAGCTCACAGCAAAAAGGAAAAATTTATACATGGACCTTAAAAAGGAAGTATTCTATCATGATACTGCTACTGGTCAGGAAAGAGACAAGATTTTGGCATACATAAGAATTCTAATTAATAATGAAACAAGAAAAATTCTCCAAGCCTTACCCCAGCCCAGAAGAAATAGTCTCTCCCAAATTATCAACCTTCCTTTGTGTGATCCATGTTTTCACCAAGCTCTTCCTATTTACTAATTGCTTGCCCTACACAGATCTGCCTCTATAAAGAAATATCTTGACATTCTTCTAACTTGGAAACAGCCAAGCCGTACAAGTTTTGTTATTAGGGAGTAGTTTCTCAATCTAAGAATAGTACCCTGGATATGTAACTTTCACTTATATGATATCCTGGAAGGTCCAGCTGAAACAGCCAGACAAATGGTCTCTCTCCTTTTTTTAACATACACCCTCACCTTTCTCATCAACTTCTAACTGTAACACAGGTCACCACAATCTTGTAAATGTCTGTATCCATCTGAAAAATAAAATCACATGCCATATATTTGTAACCAACCAAATGAAGATGGCTGAGGTACTAGAGTAACAGAAAGGTTATTAGGAAGAAAAGCTTTTATCACTAAATCATTTTATAATTACTGTTTCAATTCCTCAAACATCTTACTGTTATTAAAGTATGTCTATGTCCCTCATATTTCCACTTGCAAGAGATACACAAATTCTTCAGGGGACATAGTGGAGACCCAAATCTGGAGGTTCTGGGCATTTGTGTGGTCTGATTTTCTACAGATTCAAGAGCGGGCACTAAAAATATTGAACCTGAATTTGATCACACCTACCAGTTTACAGTATATATATATATATATATAGGGGGCATAGAAACAAATGACTTCACAGTGTTGCAATAAACAAAATCCAGAATAGATGGGAGAATTCTACAAGACAACTAGTTTTAAAGGGGATGGAAAAAGGAGGAATTTACGGATTAAAAATTTTTAAATTAGTAACAACCAAATGTAATATACAGACTTTTTATGGTGCCTGTTCAAGTAATCCAGTAGTTTAAAGACCACAAAGAAAAAGAATCAAAGGAATTTCAACACTGAGCAGATATTTGCTAAAAAACTTAAATTTTTGTCAGCTGTGATAATAGTAATTTGGTTACATTTTGTATTTAAAAAGACCACTTATAGATTAAGATAAAGGGGGCTTCAAAAAGATCATGGAAAAATGGAACTGAAACATAATGGAATTTTTACACAAACTTTTTGAAACCCCTTGTACATACTATAGATGATATATATGAGGTTTGCTTCAAAATAATTAGAAGGTGGATTAAGGAAGAGTAGGTGGGGTGTTGTAGATCAAATAAGATTGGTTATAAATTGAACCAGAAGGGTCCATAATACTATTTCTTACAGGAGCGCTGGTGACACTGTAGGATAAACACTGACCTGCTAACCACAAGGTCAGCAGTTCAAACCCACCAGCTGCTCCATAACAAAAAAATGAAGCTTTCTCCTCCTATAAGTATTTACAACTTTGGAACTCTCTACTCGCCAGCAAGTTAGAACAACTAGAGGATAACTAACAACAACATGGTTTTGTATACTTCCCATGATGAAAAGTAAAAAAAAAAAAAAAATCCTAAGTTAATGGGATAAAATTTCCAGCCTGGCTTCAAGCCCCATTAACTAGCCTGATTCTCTAGGGGTCGGACATAAACTGGCAATTACTATGACTAAGTACAACCCTTTCTCTTGCATCATTAGCCTGAGATAGGACATTTAGTTGTGTTAGTTTGGTTACTTACCAGGTACCATTTAATCTCCAAGTTTGCTACCTAATGTTAACTTTCGTTTTAGGGAAAACTAAAATAATTTCTGAAGCTAACAGCATTTTAGTATCTGTTGAATTTATTCAGCATAACCAGAGACATTGTCTTCATGCTGTCATACACAGACACAAACACAGAAGTACAGCACAATATCCATGTTCTTCCCAAGTGCATTCCTTCTGAGCCTCATTTATAAGTTTTCATATGCCACAGCCCATCATTTAAATAATGGATATTTTCAATGCCAATTCCTTTGTTGACTTTCTCACTGTGAAAGGAAAAGAAAATAAGTAAAAATTCTTTATGCATTTTCCTATGCTTAGTTAAGATAAATATAAAAGTACATGCTATTTTGCAATTACTAAGCCACATATAGGGAATTTCTATTACTCCAATGTAGTTCATGTCTTAAAGTTACTCTAGTGATCTAATTCATGATTCTATAGAAACAGTAATGGATGCCTCCATACCAGGAAAACAGTAAAGTATTACATTAACCCTGAAACAAAATTAATTGGAGTAATTTACTCATCAAATAGGTTCTAAGATTTTAAAATAAACTACCTGTATTTTTGGTACTATATCTTTAACATTTCCCTAATATGCTATCTTTCCTATAACACCAGGTCAGTATATGAAAAATAAATACTATGTGGCACTGAGCTATATCACTGTTTTAAAAAGCCAGCAGGAAAACATCTTCTTCCCCCTCCCCAATTAAATAAAAATGTCTGAAAGTGCCACATTCAAGGGTAAGTCAAAAAGTATTGCTTCTTGGGTTCTAGTTCATACATGCACAGGTTTATTCCAAACAAAATGTATTTAAACATGTCTCTGCAATCAGTGGATGGCTGCATACAAGTTCTCAGTAATGCACTTGTCTTTTTGGTTGCTGTTAAGTACTGTTGAGTTGGTTCTGACTCATAGCAACCCTGTATAGGGTGTCCGAGGAGCAGCTGGTGGGTTCGAACTACTGACCTTGTGGTTAGCAGTGCTAGCCTATAGTACCACAGACTTGTCTTAGTCTCAAAAAAGGTCTAATCTAAACAGTGGCTTCCAAGGGGATCTACTGGGCCAGTAAAATTCAAGGTGAAGAGGTCAGCTCAGAAGGTTATGGCAACTGTTTTTGGGGGGATTCCAATTAGGTCACCTTAATAGATTTTCTTGAAAGACACATGGAGGCTTACTAGAAAGAAGTTTTCAAAAAACTGAAAACTGCATTCCTGAGAAAAAGATCAGGAAGCTTGTGCTGAGGAATTTTTTACCATCACTACAATACATCTGCTCATTCTTGGCGTGTAGCAAGGGCTGTTCTATGAGAATTTTGTTGGGAAACTATCCCATTCACCCTACAGCTTTGATCTTGCCCCTTCAGACTTCTCTTGGTTCCTCAAACTCAAAGACCATTTTAAGGAACACAATCTGAGTTCCTCTGGGATGCCAAAGATAAATATGAAGTACATTGTTATTTTGCAATTAAGCCACATACAGGGAATTTCTATTACTCCACTGTGGTTCATGTCTTCTGGTGTGGCACTGTAGGATTAACTATGGACTGTGAACCACAAGGCCAACAGTTCAAGCCCACCAGCTGCTTCTCAAAAAACCCTACTCAGGGTTGCTATGAGTTAAGAGTCCACTCAACAGCACATAACAACAGGATGCAAAAACTACCATTTAGTTGTGATGTAAACTGAGGTGTGCAGAATTTTATGGGGAGGGTGGAAATATTGCTTTCTTTCAGAAGTGTATAGACCTAGATGGGGAAGATATGTTGATAATAGCTTTACATTTTTATATATTTGTTTATTAAAGGTTTCTATGGTTTTGTAGCAATATTTTTTTAATTACCCTCATATATATAAAACAGTTATGTTAGTGCTTGGGTACTTTTCATAAAGTTTAAGAAAGAATGCAATCCTTAAAATAAGTTTCAATGGATTTCCCTAAGTGCTAGGAAAATCTGAAAAACTTATGTTCTTAGGTACTTGTAAGATGTGATATGAACAAGAGCAAATTTCACCTGTAATTCTGATGCTTCCTGGGTAGATTAGCTGAAAAGCTAAGAGAGTCTAAAGTGAGACTTACATATCTTCTGCAGACATCTTCATGACTCCGACACACAGAGCATGCTGTTTTCCTTCTGCCATTATTGCCTGAAAGCACAGCTAAGAAAATTGTCTCTCAGAATGCCTTTATGTGGAGGGAGGGGAGGTTAAATAATGATCATGTTGCTAGTTAAGCCACTTTGAACCCATCTTGTGACCTCTCTTAGATTGTTAACTCCTTGAGGCCAGGGGCATAACAGAGTCTCTGGGCATGTTTTAAGTGCTCGATAAATGCTAAATGAATGTGTCTAATAATCATTGTTGGTTTACAAGTCAGCTGTTAATACTATTGACTCAATGTTAACAAAATCAGAATAGATTATTCAAAAAAGGAGACAAAAATTTCCTAAACATAAACACTAAAAACTGAAATGCAAAATGCATATCAATTGTCCTACTGTCTTAATCACAGAATGGTAGTTTTATGTAAAGCACACATTTAAACAATTATTCTATTTCCACCTTATCTGTAAGCACCAACGCTAACAATTTCAACCTTTCGAGAGCAAAGAGAATGTTCTTGGTTATCATTTGAAGTTTCTGGAAAGTTAAACATTGCAGTACATATTTTAAAAACTAAAAGCTCAAGGATGATAGGACTTCTCTGTACTATTTTTGCCACTTTCTATACATCTACATTTCAAAATAAAAAGTACTTTTAAAAAGTAAAGGCTATAGGGTACTGGGAAACTTGGGACCTATAAATTTAGCAGCACGGATGCATAAAAGGGTGACCTGTCCTCGCAGAATTTTCCCCATTCGTTTTAATCCATTCACTTGTTCAGTGTTCCACAAATGCATGTTCATATATTATGTGACCAGGATCTAATGACAGACAAGCTGTTCCTAAGACATGAACATATAACTTACACTACCTCTTAGATATAACCACCATACCAAAGGACACGTTCCATTTCCATCAAGTATGAGGGGGCTTCCAAAAGTTCATGGGAAAATTCCATTATCTTTCCATTCCATTTTTCCATGAACTTTTTCTAACTGAGACAAATGGCCACTTGAACCATGACATAAATGGCCTGTCCAGAACCGTTTACAAAAACAATTTAATCCAGAATATTGCTGAAACAGCACCACAGACAATGCTGATAATGCTAAAAAAAAAAAATAGTATTCAGCTATGCAATGAATAGATCTTTTAAGGAATACCTGGGACTTTAATATTTTAAAGTCTCTTTGAGACTTTGAGAATACATATCTGAGGCCCAAAGAACCAACTTAAAAATGAACTAAAAGTTACAGATTGCCAATATTCCCTTATTTACCCATTTCTAACAAAATTATTTTTTTAGGAGCAAGAGATAGCTGGTGATTATTCTTCCCTTTTGAGTTGTTTTATTCCAGGGTATCTGGGAAAGTTGAACATAAAAGTGACAAGCTGATGTCTTAAGAATTGATCCCATGATAATCATATATAGTCTTCCCATTAGTAATCAAAAGTTTGTACTGTATACTTACTCTGATAAAAAAAAATAGTCCCTAACTGGGTTGAAACGCAGTTGGAACTCTTTTCTAACTTTTTCTCATTTAACTTCTAAACAACTCCCTACTCTGGGATACGATTTAGCTTCAAGAAATGAAAAAAAAAAAAAAAAAGTTACTTTCCATAGCTTCAAATGTAAGCAGAAAGACATGAGCAAACAGTAACAGTAACCTTGTCTGCACCCCTCGGGTTGCTAAGAGTCAAAAACCGACTAGCAAGTAGCAACAAACACAGCCTCCAAAAAAGAGTACCCATGTATCTAAAGTTCTCTTGATGGCACTAATACAATGTATATGTTATTTTGCAAAGACAGAGTGAATGGTTTTCCTGGGAAGGATACAACAATTGTATCTACTGCAGCAGGGTAAAGTTTAGCTCCAGGAGAAGTTAATCCTGGACACATGATATTTGCTCCACTGAGTACAAATTTGATGGCTCCTTTATCAACCTGCTGGTGTGGCAGGATAAAAGGATCTAGAAGAAAAGAAATACATTATATAAATTAATAACAACTAAGGATGCAATAGAAAAAGGCAAAGGACAGTATCTTTCCCAAAATTCTAGTACTCTGACAGACGCAAACTAAAACTGAGATACTGTCTTTCACCTATTAAATTGGTAAATTTTCTAAAGAAAAGTAATTACTAGTGCTGATAGGAAAACTGGAAAGCTTATAAATGGACACTACCTTTCTATAGTAAGATTTGGCCTTTAAAAGACTGAAACATTTTGACTGAATTCTACTTCTAGAACTTTATTTTAAGGGGGGAAACAATGTCCATTGCAGCACTGTTTCTAATAAAAAGTGGAATTAACCTAAATGTTAATTAAGTTGAGGTAAATGACTTACAGTATCTATAAAATAGAACTATGTTTTTGGAGAATATTTAATACCATAGGAAATAGTCATAATGGAGAACCCAATTTAAAAATGGGAAAAATATGCATTTGCACACACACACACACACACACACACACACACAAAGGAAATAATCATATGAAAGTATACTGATATAATAACAATGGTTAGCTCTAGATTTTGGGAATGCAGGTAATTATTAATTTATTATATATTTCAGTGTGTGTGTGTGAGTGACTACACATAAATATAAACTAACAAAGGATCCCTTCAGGATTTCAAACAATTACTAGAAAAAAATATTTTAAGCCTCTCAGGGCTGTCGTGAAATAATAATGAGAATAATAGGCAAACTTTCTTCACTTTAATGCCTTATCATTAACCCGCCCACTAGGCACAGAACAAGTTTTTGTTTTCCTACCAAGAACAGAAATTAATTTTAAATTACCCCAAATTAATTTAAACATCTTACTGATAAAAAGGAACCCAAATGAATTGAATGCATTTACTATTCACAAGGAGCTCTGGTAGTGTAGTGGTTACGAATCGGGCTGCTAACCTCAAGGTCAGCAGTTCATAACTACCAGCGGTTCCGCGGGAGAAAGATGAGGCGTTCTGCTCCCGTAAAGATTTATAGCCTCGGAAACCCTGTGCAGGGTCGCTATGAGTTGGAACCGACTCCACGTTACTTAACAACAACAACTATTCACAAGCCATAATTTTTCTAGATCTTTACTCTCATTAATATCACCACTTTATAACAGTAACATTACGTAGTTGTGAACATTTATTGAACAATTATTATATCATAATAATGGCTACATTTATTGCACAGTTACTACATAACTATAATGGCTATCATATATTAAGCACTTACTGTTGAGGCATTGTTTAGGGGCTCTACATGCACTATCTCATTTAATCCTCACAACCCTGGAAGATATATACAATTATCATCTCCATTTTAAAGATAAGGAAACAAGGCTAAAAGAGGTTAAATGACTTGTCAAGGTGACATAAATAGTAAGTAGCAGAGCTAGGAATTGAACCCAGCTGTGCTTAACTCAAAGTTCATTGTTTGTAATTATTATGTTATTCTGCTTCTTTTACAATAATAACTTTTTTATTTCTAAGATGTTGGTCCCTAGCAAAATGTTATAAAACAGAAACATCTTTTCCCCCACAACTTATTATGAAAACGTTCAAAATACAATGTTGGAAGAGTAGTCCAATGTTTATACCTAAACACCATCCAATTAGATTTAACCATTGTTCATTAACATTTTGTTAAATTTATCTCTACTTATACATATACATTTTTTCCTCCACCATTTAAAAGTAAATTCAAACAAAATACTTCATCACACCTAATAATTTAACGATATCATATTATTGCCAAACCATATTCAAATCCCCAACTGCCCGAAAAAAGTCAATAGATTGTCTATCTTAATGTAAAAAAAACTTAATGTCACCAAAACATTTTTATTTAAACCCATCTCATCAGGGTTAATATATTCTCCATCCTAAGTTTTTTTTTTTTTTAACCTGATAAAGTAAATAATTAATCTGCAATTATTCCCTTATAAATATTAAAATGTCTCATGTCTTTTAAGATTTGCCCAACAGCTTTAGGCTCCTGACCTCTGTATCACCAGGTAGTTTTTAAAAATGTATCTTCTCTTTCAATAATGCCAAACTCATCAAGTCACCACCACCACCACCAGAACCCTCCAGTCACTCCCTTCCCTTCTGCTTCTTGGATAGAATGCCAAACTGAAAAGCATTTTTACTTCTTAGCTGAACACTCATGCACTCGGATTGTATCTTCCTTTGGATTTTCTTTTCTAATGTACTCAACCCACAAATGTGAGTACACAGTAAAATTTGGTTTTATAATGCCTGACCATAGCACTCACTTAATGATATGAATGAATGAATGAATGAAGGCTCTCTCCTGACCTTTCTGAACTGCATAAGAGAATTGTAACCAAACTTGAATGTTTTAGATTTACCACAAGATGAAGATTCATTTTGATTTTATAGTCCATATTACTTAGTACTAATAAATAATGAGTTAACTATGAGAGATCACTTTCAACTCCTTTTCTTTCTTCCCACATCGCCAAATGTATTATTTCTTAACAAAACTTACATTTGTGAAGTAATCTTAGGGTTGGATAAAAAGGGCCTTCTCTCTGCCTAAAAAATAGTAACTCTCCATTTACTGTAAGGATTTCTATATGTTCATGGCTGTAAGACAAATGTCACAAAGTAACAAGTTAGATATTTTCTTTCAACAATGAATATGTTAAACCGCCTTTAAAATGTATACTAAATAAGCATACACAGAGATACAACAGCATATACAGAAATACAATGTAAACAATGTAGAATATACAGAGAACAGTAGCTTTTTTTTCTTTTTTAAGCTGTAGGAAAGACCCTGGCCAAAGAAAATACATTGTTTAAATTGTTTTTCATAGCTATCATACCAGTCCAGTAGAGACACAATTTTATTTCACATTGTATTCCACTGTTAATCGTGTTCAATAAAATAAATCTCCACTGGAAAAACTGCAGTAAATTAAAACAAACGGAATAAAATAAAAAACACAACTCAAATATATGAATATTGATCAATCTTAAAATCATTCTGCTTACATATCCACTTCATTAATCTACAAATAGTTAATGTGAAAATAGTTCTGCTTGTGAGTATAATCTACCCATTAAATATTCAGCTACTCAGAGCTTTACATAGAGAAAAATAAAGACTTACCATCGTACAATTTTGACAGGATCTTTCTTAGGCATGATTTGATTAAGCCATGGTTCAATACCTGGAAATTGCTCTATCAACTGGTTCTTAATACCCTTAATAACTGAGGTTTTCAACTGGATGCAGTTGGACACATTTTCCTTTTCATCAAATCTGCCAAGTGATTTTTGCAAGGAGGGAGAAAAAAAAAAAAAAAAAAAAAAGGCATTTCTAAGCAGAAATATCAGAATCGCTAGTCAGTCATCTCCCAGGCATGTACTTGGATTTGGATACCTAAAATAATTATGAAGTACATTTTTAAAATAGCATTTCCCTTTTATTCTGTCCAGCACAAAACCAATGTCTTAATAAAACAGTAAAATAAACTGTCTTGTACACAGTAATTAGCTGGAGAGGGGGTTATAAGGCATATCTCCTATTATAAACTGTAGTCACATACACAAATGCTTTTGCTGGGAAATCTTACTCAATTTTCCTCAGGAAGAAACACAAGACTCCTACCGATGATAAGTGTTGAGATACAGATGCCTAACCTAACGGTAACACAGAAAACTGGTCTCAGCTAGGCTATGTAGTCTAGAGAGATTTGGTTGTTGTTGTTTGTTTGTTTTTTTAAGTGATGATTTCTACGATCCTTATATATGTTTGTTCAAAATTTCATATACAAAACCCACCTTCCTTTGCCCATGTTCCCCCACCTTGCTTTTTGTGTCTACCAAATTTGGATGGCAAACACACAAGATAGGTTCCCAAGAATTTTTTTCTCCCTTATACTGAATGGGGTAATCACGATATTTTAAGACAAGGTTAACCCGGCAGCTAGGCAATAAGCATGACAGGCCGCTTGCTTCCTGTCACCCAGACTCCTTCACTCCCATGACCCAGGAAGTCAAGCCTTCCCCTATTCAGTTCAGAACTAATAAACATATGGCAGTGAGTGCACGGCTCCCTTCTCAGTTAAAGAGGCTATGCAGCTAAAGCACCGTGCAGGATGTGATTGGTAGAACCCTAGAAATGGAGATAGGATTTGGGAAAGGGGGCAAAGAATAAGGAAAAAGGAGTAAGCAGAAATAAAGTGGGAACTGGCGAGAGGAGACCAAAACCCCATTGAGGATTAGGGATGGAAAGCTTAAAGAAGTGTTGCAAATTGCGAGTTAGAGCATAGTACTATAGAAAACCTTAGGGATTCAGGATGGCAGGGGAGGGGGAGAGAGAAAGAGGATTGTAGCTCTCGCCCTCTTCCCCACCCCATTCCCACCGCCTTTGTGAGCAGCCGATGGAGACCACAGCATGTCCTTACTTCTTGAACATGATCCAAGGTGAAGGGGGCGACGATGGGAAAGGGCCCGGATTGGGAAAGAAATTGAATTAAGAATGGTCCGGCAAATACCCTTACACGAGGAGGGGCCGGCACTGACAGTCGGAGCCGTTGTCGCTAGCCGGAAAGTGAGACAGCCCGTCGCGCCTTACGGCTTAGAGAAATTTGACTACTTCCGCTCCTCTTAACTCCACGTCGGCGCTTTTGCTGGTTCTTTTTGGGTTACGTTTACTGTCCTGAGGGAGTAGCTGAAAGGGCGGGACTTGAAAAGGAAGATGTGATAGAGCAATTTCTTCCAGTTGCAGGGAGCTAAGAATGGAAGGGGCGGAGAATCAATCATGGCAGCAGTTATGACAGTTGTACGGATTCCTCACAGGATCAAGAGTTTCCCGTGTTTCGTTGCTACTGACAATTAACCTAAATATTTAATGGGAGTGGGTTTTGTTCATATCTGTGGCAACCAAATGAATTGGTACTTAATGACGAGCATGAACCCAGGCAAACCAAATGGCTTCAGGTTACAGATCAGCTAAATTTGAATTTCAGATAAACATGGAGTAATTGTTTTAGTGTCTAAGTGTGCCCCATGAGCTCCTCGGAAACCCTAAACAGGGTCGCTATGAGGCGGAATCGACTCGATGGCCCTTAACAAGAACAACACGCAATATGAGGGTCATACTTACACTTTTTAAATTTTTTCTTGTTTATCTGAATTCAATTGGGCGCCCTGGATTTTATCTGGCAGCTCGATTCACTGACCATGGTGACGTGGCCTCATAAAATTATCAAATAAAAACAACTAAGTTGCTGACCCCCGTCTTATCCCATATCTATAAGTTGAATTATACATCAAGAAAGGTAATGTCCTTGAAGGAAAGAATTGCCCCTTACGGAACAATACTGAACAGTAAATCTCACTGAAAAGGTAACAGCTAAAGAAAGTTTTACCTGTGTAATTTTAAACAGAAGAGCTGATAGAAAAAAATTAAATTATGTCAATCAAGGATCTTGATCAGCAAAGCAAGCATAGAAAAACTAAAAATGTGAATATATGTTACCCAGGATGTGGGGTGGTTGTGCAGTGATGCATAAAGCAAGCACACCAGTCTCTCCGGTGAGCAAATACTCTATGCATTTAAATTGTCCTACTAACTCACCTTGTTTTGATTCTATGATTATCAGCAATCTTTTGATTGTGATTTGGCTTCCCTTGAAGATCTGCCAGAGAAAGAATTTGCTCATCTCAAATCCACGTGTTTGTCTTTGTAAATGAATAAACTGGCATTCTGGTTTATACAAGTCTCCTGAGCGTCATTAGTGTGGATCTACATTCCCAGCATCAGGCAACCCTGCAGCATTTACAGTACTGAATTAACAACGTGCAAAACGGAAGCATCCTCCCTCCACCATAAAGAATACAAAAAGCAAACTCAAGCCCAGACCCCAAGCTGTTCTTTGTGCAATATTGTCAGACTTCTTCCTAAGTAGTCTTTCTCTCTTGGCTACGCCCACATCACCCTGGGGAGATTATGGACAATGTATACTGTACACATTACAAACAGTTACTATGCAACAACTTGAGATGAGTTTAAAGTAGATAATTTGTATCAGATTTATAGTAACAAAATGTACTGAACGTACAGAGAAGATTATCATGGCCCCTGCTCAAGGATAACAGGCAAATTCGTGAAGCAGTCTGTATTTGGAGGAGTCATAGTGGCGCAGTAGGTTAAATGTTGGGCTGCCAACCACAAGGTTGGTTGTTCAAATTCATCCGCTTCACCTCGAAAGACAGATGAGGCTCTCTGCTTGGGCAGAGATTTATAGCCTCGGAAACACTGTCAGGCAGTTCTACTCAGTCCTAAAGGGTCCTTATGAGTCAGAATCCTCTCGATGGCAGTGGGTTTAGTTTGGGTTTACATTAGCAATTACAATTTAACTTGGATCCTGAAGGTAATAATGCCTGCTGATGCAATGGTTAATGCTCAGCCGCTGACTAAAAAGTAGGCCGTTTGACTGTACCAGCCTCCACGAGGAAGAAAGATGTGGCAGTCAGCTCCAGCAGCTATTAACAGCCTCGGAATCCCTACCTCCACAGTTCTACTCTCATATAAAATCACACTTTCCATCGGAATTCACTGGACTGCAACAGGTTTGCAGATGAATTCCCGAATTTCGTGAGTTTTTTCATTTAGGAACGGAGTAATTAGTATAATATTAAAAGTCATTGCCAAAAATGAATAAATAAAAAACATTACCCAAACTAAATAAAAAGCAAAATTGAGTCCTGGTGTGGTGCCATAGGATAAGCATTGGACTTCAAGGTCGGTTTGAATGGCAAGGTTGGCAGTTCACAAACTCCACCAGCCGCTCCTTGGAAACCCTATACAGGGTCTCTATGAGTCAGAATGATTCGACAGCACTTAACAATAACAGCAAATAATTTTTGTTGTGTTGTTAGGTGCCATCGAGTTGGTACCGACGCATAGCGACCTTATGCACAGCAGAATGAACCACTGCCCGATCCTGGGCCAACCTCACTACTGTTGCCATGCTTGAGTCCATTGATGCTGCCACTTGGCCAATCCATCTCGTTGGGGGTCTTCCTCTTTTTCTCTGACCCTCCACTTTACCAAACATGATATCCTTCTCCAGCGACTGCTCCTTCCTGACAATATGTCCGAAGTATGAGAGATGAATTTTTAATTGTATAAAAATTACACATACTCTGAACGATGACAAACCCCACATGTGTTACATATATATTTTAATCCACTTTCACACACACTCAAAATTCCAGAAACGAAACCTAAATTATGACACATGTCAAATTAGGTCATTAGTATTAAGATATTCAGTACTTTCCTAAGTACCTTCATTGGCAACCCACCTACACAGATACATATCCAGGACTTTTCACTGCAATGTATTTCTGGGTACTGTGTTGTAAATGCTATTATCATAAAATGGATTCTGTGTTTCCAAGGTGATAACTATGCGTTTGTGCCTTACAAACAAGATGTCAAAAAAACTCATACCTCTTCACAATTTAAAATAATGACCTTCATATATTCTTGCAGTAATGCTTATTAAGGACTTTGATGTTTTAGTCACACATGTTCTCTGTCCTATAATTCATGCATAAACGTTCTGTGCAATTTATTATAAAAGGGTCTCCTCAATGCACAGGTAGCACAAATGGCACAGAAACCCCTTTTGACTAAAATAAAGCAACCTAGCTATAATAAGCATTAAACATTTACTTGAACAACTGTGATTACCTTCTTAGAATTCTGAAAGGGTTTTTATGGGATCATCTGGATGTGAGACTCTAACTAAAATGTTGCCCAAAGAAGTATGCATTAAGACCTCCTTTTCTTCTTCACAAACTTCTCTGAGCAATAAGTCTGGCAACAAAACCCTTGAGAGCATCAAGGAAAAGAAAGATTTCATTAAGAAGTAGGCCATAGCTTTGAACACTGGAGGAGCTGCTTTCACTCCCAAAAAATATTGGGCCAGTGCCAGACACCTGCTGGGCCTCACATCTCTCAGAATCCATTAGAGTCTAATTTCCCACAAACACCCTCTCAGCCTTGGAGCTGAGGGCCTGCTACAACCTGGCTTTGTATCTCCCACAGAGGCACCACACACACACACGTGCCACCAATCACTGCAAAGCACAGGTGGGAGAATGTCTTGGCCCTGTTATGGATTGTATTGTGACCACCAAAATATGTGTTGGAATCCTAACCTGTTTGCAATTAGGGTTTTCTTCATTAGGTTCTTTGTAAGACCATGTCAGTGTAGGGAGTGTGCAGTATTCAAAAGAGCAGAGTAGACAGGCATGCACATATTGGGGAAGGCAGGTGCTGTGTGAGGATGACCAAGCAACCAAGGAATGCCTGGAGCTGACAACATGGAAGGGATCATCATGACTGAGAACCTGATTTGGACTTTTAGCCGCCAGTTGTTGTTAAGTGCCTTTGAGTTGATTGTGACTCATAGCAACCCTGTATAGGGTTTCCAAGGAGCAGCTGGTAAGTTTGAACTGTCGACCTTGTGGTTTGCAATCCCATGCTGATCCTACAGTGCTACACCAGGAGTCCTTTAGCCTCCAGAACTGTGCGAAAATAGCTTTCGGTTCTTTAAAATCACCCACATATGGTATTTCTGTTACATCAGCACTAGGTAACTAAGACACCATGCTAGTGTTTGGCTCTTTCCATATGGAGCAGATAAGGAACACCAACAAAACAGCCGCTCCTGCCTCCAGACACAGATATAGTCAAACTGGGCGAGGCCAGCGAGCCTTCTATTTATCAGAAAACTGTCAGAACTTTTTGGCAAACTGGTGATAAGCCACCAAACCCACTAGGTCTCACGCACACGCTTCTTTTCCTAATTTATTTATTGTGTGACTCTGAGATGGTGGTAGTTATGTGCCGTGAATTCGGTTCCGAATCATAGTGAGCCGTACGGAGTTTCCGAGGC